TTCTATGACCAGTCCTTATTGCTCCTTCCTAAATAAAACACACTGAGATGACATATTGCTTTTGTAATTGGGAGATGTGTAAAAACACTGAAAAATTCAACTTTAATCTTAGCATCTGGGAGATTTCAGTAATTGGTGCTATTCTTCTGCATTTTAACAAGCTCCTCTTTTCTGCTATAGAGGACTAATGGACACGGCCTGGATGTATTTGTGGGGATCTACATTTTCTTTACTTCCATTCCTGCTGAGAGCATCTCGCCCCAGCCCACGATAAAAACATAGCCTCCATCGTTTGGATCAAATCAAAGGAAGCACAAAAGCTGGCCTCACTAATCCAGCTGTAATGACAAACGGAAGTAATGGCATGCAGAGAATAATAACTCTTCTCTTGCCTCATACCAATTGACACCGATAACCCATGGCCGGCCTAATGACCTCAGCTGTGACGTCTTGTGTAATGGCGAATTCAAACTTCCTTTGGGATTCTTGTGCATAGGCAATTATGAAGAATGATGACAGTTAAACAATAGCGGGATCAGGGTGCTCAGCTTTGTCATCATGAGTGGATTCTATTAGGGTCAGTGTAATGGCCGTCTGAAAGCAGAGAGGGGATGAGCATCACAAGACATCATCTGTGCGGAGACAAAGCGTGTTTGAGGCATTCGCCGATCAGAGATGGGCTTTGTGCCTCAGTATGGACCTCAATTGTTTTCTCTTTTGTATGGAAATGACTGCTTTAATGGGCTTCTGCTGCTCTGATGGTTGAAACTGAGACTTTTGGGGTTAGCAGAAGTGTCTGGGCGATGACATATTTTGTGGATAATATGACGTGTGTACTGTAATTGCTGGACTATAAGCCGCTACTTTTTCTTTTAACAGCACGGCCTTTATAGCGATGCGGTCAATGTATGTTTGTATTTTTATTGGGTTAGAGGTCTATCAGCTGTGGTTTATGTGAACAGCAGAGAGAGCCTGCACAAGGATGTGCAAGGAAATACACAGAACTTGTTCTATTATCAGGGCAGAGTGCTTGACCTTACTATTTTGACTCCATCAGTAGTTTACCATACACCATTAGTAGCTATTGGACACACATTAAACTAGTCCAATTAAACCAGGGGTGTTGGTTCTGGTTCCAGAAAGAGCCAGAGTGGCTGCCGGTTTCACAGCACCTATTTCCTCAGGTCTTCAGGTTCAGACTGGACTCAATTGAGGAAATAGGTGGAGATTGGTGTGCTCCTGTTTGGTTGGAATGAAAACCTGCTGCCACATCGGCCCTTTGAGGACCGGTTTGACACCCCTGAGGGAAACGGTTGTCTATGTGCTTTGTTTTACTCCATCAGCTGTTGCTTATGTGTCATATTACAACATGAAAACACACGACTAGTACTGGTCAAGTGCGGCCGTGTGGATAAAAACATGTACTTTCTCAACTTGAAGCTGGTGTGGTTTATACACAGGTGCACTCAATAGTCCAGCAAGTACTGTATGATAGAACATGGAAGTGATATGTAAAATCATATGGGTTGTTTCTGCATGTGCATCACAGCTAAGGCTGGGTCTCTATCTGAGCCTGCTGATACGATACGCATCTAGATATTATTCAATATAATATACAGTATGTATATTCTATTTCATTTAAAAATATTAATATTTATCTAAACCTTTTTTTTTATCACACCCTTACTGGACACAAATACTTGTTCAAATGTTTTATATATTCTAATATATATATACTTATACAGTATATGAGATAATACTTTTACATTTAAATTACAATATATATATATATATATATATATATATATATATAAAAATTGTCCACTCACCTTTGACCCTCCGCGGGCGGTTATCCCTCTCTAAGCTCGGGTCCTCTACCAGAGGCCTGGGAGCTTGAGGGTTCTGCGCAGTATCTTTGCTGTTCCTAGCACTGCACATTTCTGGACCAAGATGTCCGAGGTTGTTCCGGGGATCCGCTGTAACCACATATATATATATATATATATATACTCTTTCTATTTATGGGGCCTCTGTTCCACAAAAAGCACTTCTCTGTACACCGGACACACCGCAACTTACCTGTACTTTTTTCTTTATTCTATTTTCTTTATTTAAATATTTTTGTAGTAATTAATAACAGCTTACAGTTTATGATAAACCAAACCATTTCCTCCTTTTCCCTGTAGACAACATGGTTACCAAAAAATACGTACTAAAATCAAGTAGCACTATATTGATCCGACAAAATGAAACAATTTGTCAAACCTTTCCTATACAGCTGAGGCTGAGTTCGCCAACCCATTTAAATGGAAATAGCCTACACCAAAACTTAGGATGCTGCAGTGGACATCATGTTTTTTGATGACATTGCTTGTGAAAATGTTCCTACCGAAAGTAAGCGTAGTAGAGCCACTACCATGTTCCAGTGCTCATAAATAAGGACCTGCAAAAGGTTACATATGCTGCTGAATCTCCAAGGTATTGTCAGCAAATTCTAACCTTCTCCTCTTTGGCTAATTCAGCAAAAACCTTTTGACCTTTTACTTCAGGTCAATTCTGCATATCATACTTCTACTATAGGACAGTAAGACTACACAGAAAAACCAGCTAAGGATAATATCAGGCTCTCTTGTACAATGTCTGTCTTGCAACATTTTTCAACATTTAAAGTAGCAATATGTCAGATTTTCATGTCAAGTCATCATTAAATGGTCCTAATCTGTCAAAAGTTATTACTAAACCATGCTCTTTTAAATACTTCTTCAATTGATATCTGAATTAAAAATCAGTTTTACAGTCCCTAAATCTAGCAATTGTTTTCATTTCGATGTCCCGCCCTCCACCGTTTTACCAATCAGAAATTCTGTGATCCGCGTTGCCAGAACTCACCGCGTCGAGCTAATCTCATTGGTAAAGTAACATGAATCCACTGTACTAAAAAAGGTATCGTTATGATTCTCAAATCATCAATGAAAAAACAAGGAATGAAACCAGGATTTCTATTGTTGTTGATTGTAGATTTGTTTTAGACAAAACTCTTTATTCAGATATTATGGTCCCAGCTGGATTCGTCTGCATATCTGGCAACCTGAGTAAGGGAGAGTGCAGTACCATTTTTGGCCAGATTTTTACATACTGCTCCTAATACTCTTGGCGGTGGCTGAGAAAGCTGCCTTGATGTCCTTGGGTAAGACCTTTCTGACGCTTTGTCTGTTAACGTGAAAAAAATAATGCACATATACTGTAGGTGACACTTGGAAAATGAGAATAGTTCATTTACTTCTGTGATTCAACTTACAATGTGAAACTAATATATGAGAGACTCATTACACCAAAGTGAGATATATCAAGCCTTTATTGGTTATCATGTTCATAATTGACTCAAAGCTGTGAAAAAAAAACAAAGGAAACGCCTAAAATAATGAGAATACTCTGAGAATGTACTGAAATCCCTCATTGAAAATGATAACAAAGACTTGACATATGCCTGTACTGAGCATATATCACATATTGGTTACACATTTTACATGAATAGATTTTTTTAAACAAAAATTTCATTTCCTGAGTTTCACCGGTATAGTTTATAACACAATTCAAATGTAAACCATGGTACGCAACCTTTTGACAGGTCAGACATGTGCAACTGTACATGTACATGTACATGTAAGAATATGTATTTAATAAGAATTGTATTAATACATTACAACATTACTGAATGCCAGGTTTAATGTTTACTGTGGAACATTCAAGACAGAGGGAGACAAGCACGTGACCCCCACATCAAAAGACGACTGCTTTAAAAAGACAGTGGCAAAAGACCATTCAGACATCATTACATTGTCAGTAACTATTTCACTTGTACATGCAGTAAATATGTGCTTAATACAGCTCTGGCCTGGCCTTAGAGAGGCTTGATAAAGAGAAGATGCGACTTTGGTTTGAACAGAAGGATACACATCCAGCTGAAGAATTACCTCATTGGCCAATGTACATTAAAAACAGTTTGAGCCATCTCCTCCCTACGCATCACATACAAAAAGGTCACCGCAAAAATAGTTGTCGTCATGTGTGCTTTGAAGAAGACTGCTTTTCAAACCACTGGATAAAACAATGTTGCTGGTGTTTCAGAATCATCTGTATCTTATCATCGGGAGAGAAAAAAATCCTCTTAAACAGAAAAACATGGAGAGGCCGAGCGTTTCTTCAAAGTGCCTTTACCAGAGCGGCTGTTGTCTTTGAGGAGGAGGGAGATTGCTTTTAGCGGTCTCTGGTTCTCATCATTCTGACAATAAAAACCCAGCAGTTGAAACAAAGCAACGTTTCATAAAAAAGAAAGTAGAAGGGGCTTGAAGATTTCCGCTGTCTCGGATTGTCCCTCATTCTATCCACCAGCCAAAATAGCAGTGAGGCAATGGTTTTAATTGTTTTTAGAGACGCTTTTTTTCTCTCTTTTACAGGGTTTAATTCCGATGTGGCACCCCGGGGCTTAGAGGCTGGGGACCAAAGAGCTTGAGCTGGTTCAAAGATGAATGAGTGATTGTGCTTAGAATTCCCGCAGGTTTGTTTTCAAAGTGCTAGGAATTTATTGCAGTCTTTTGTCGCTTCTCTATTGGTTAAATATGAGCACAATACAAGACACGGGACAATAAATCAGGGTGTCATTGGAGAAAATGTGTTCAGTTTCCTGGTGTCAGCTCAGGCACTTCTACTATCGTCCTTGTCTTTAGAAAGTGGTCTTAAAACACTGGGTTGTAGAAAATTAAAAACTGCAGATCAAATGCATCCCTAATGGTGAAACTAAACTTGACTTTAGTCCCAAAATTCAAGATCATGGTTGGGCTATGATCAAGAGAGTACCAAATTGTGCCATTATGACCACCCGTTCCTCTTCACAAACCTTTTATTGAATCCATACTTTAACAGCGCATGCTTTTATCAAATAGAATATGTATTTACACTGTACACTTTTTACAAAATCCTGGAAGTAGAGAAGGTCTTTGTCACAGATCAGCAGCTGAAGACACTTGTGATAACCTGGGATCAGAGTCAAGCTCAAAGCGATAGTGGTAGCCTTCCCATACCTCCCTGCAGGCATCGCGCATTTCATACATCCGCTTCTTGATTCCTTTTCGGTTTAGATAAAGAACAAATAGAAAAATGAGCCCGATGAAGCCTAGAACAAGCCCTAAGAACACATATGAAGTCTGGAGCACCAAATCCCCCCCTGCATCTCTCTGGTGACACCCTAACGTCAGCTTTCCCGCCTCCAGTAGAGACATATTTCTCAGACTAACTGGGAACGCACACGCCAGTTCTTCCGCGTCCCGAATGCGGGCTTGCGATCTGTTCACCCACAAAGTAAACGGCTCGATTCCGCACTTGCACATAAAAGGATTGTCCCCAAGCACCAGCATGGTTTCGGGCATTTTGTCCAGCTCTTGCACCCCCTCCTCCGAAACGGTTTTGAGAGAATTGAGAGATAAATCAAGCTCCTCCAGCCTCTCCAAGCCCTGGAATGTGGCGTTGCGGATGGTCACCAGGGAGTTGTTTGACAGCTGCAGGCGGCGCAGGTTGGTCAGGTGGGAGAAGATGCGAGCGGGGAGCAGGATCAGGCTGTTGTGGGATAGGTCCAGGACTTGCAAAGCCCCAAGAGAGCTCCAGCGCAGAGAGATGGCCAAGTCCATGATAGAAGAGTGGTTGTACAGAGCGCGACTGAGGTTGAGGTCCCGCAGAGACTGGTTCTGGATGGTGAAGGCTTCAGGGTGGATGACAGCCAGCTGGTTGTTGCTCAGGTCCAAGAAGCGCAGGCTTTTGAGTCTCGAGAAGGTTTGGGATTCAACCTCGGAAATTCTAAAGGTCAAAAAACAGGAATTAGGTTTTGGAATGTGCCTCCATTTATATTCGGCTCATATGCACCAGCTGCTCTGAAAATGCACAGTGGGATATGAAATAACTAGATGTATGACTCTAACATCTAAGGGTTTTTAATAGCCTATACAGGTACAGTACATAGAACATACATTAGAATCTCGTTGAAAAGTATTAGTTTGTCATACATTGTTTAAAATTTGCTATAAGGGTCTAATATGAGATTTCTTTCCTCCCTACTTTTTCCAGACACATAGTTTTGAATCTGGTTGAAACTATGCCCGCTTTAGAAGATGTATGTCTACATCTACACACATACGGTTTATTATAAATTGCATATACATACATATTTACCTGTTATTGCTCAATGAAAGCGTGGTGACATTCTCCAGCCCAATGAAAGACTCGGGTCCAATTCGACTGATCTGATTGCCCGTGATGAACAGATTCCGCGTGTAGCCCGGGATGCCAGCCGGAACAGTCCTGAGATCTTTGGAGACGCACTTCACCGTTTGTGCCGCCTCAGAGCACTCACAGCGCGCCGGGCACGTCGCGTAGCCGGAACCAAGGAGCGCGCAAAAGATAATCCACTTTTGAGCCAAGTCCAGCATGTTGCACTGAACTGTTCTGGACTAAAGTAAAGTAAAGAATCACGGGAAACGCTAGGTTGTCTATAACGCTACCAGCTTCTTGGGAGACTTCATCACCACCGCGCCTTGTCCCGGGCTGAGAAGTGTGGCCAGCATGCAGGCTCTGATTTCCATGAGAACAAAACTGGGGTCTGGGGGTCGTGCTGAAGTGAGGGGGCTTTTGATCCTCTGCGATGGCAAAGCGGGGCGTCGCTTCTTCTCTCACAATGTAGTTAAAAGGACAATCGCCCCAGTGCAAGGATCTTTGGGGAGGGGCTTCTTGGTGTGTGCGTGTGCGTGTGCGTGTGTGTGTGTGTGCTGGGTCCTGGTCCAAGTCTCCCTCCAAACTCAGCCTCCGGTGGCATGCTGCGCGGATGGGGAGGTGAAGGAATGTCCCCCCTGACATAAAGGGTCGGAATTAAAACAAACTTGGTCTTCATTTTGGGCCATAATATAGCATGCGTGGCAATTCAGCAAACCCAAGCAAGCTTTTGAAATCTATGACCTTGCCTGAGCGTTCATTCTGGGGAGAAAAGTGCAGATATACAGCATCTATACAAAAAGGGTGCCTAGTGTAAAACTGATATGCGATATGTTACACACGCTAACTGGGTGGATGGCTCTGCAGTGGTGAGAGCGGTGGGTTGTGTAGTCATTTGGAGTGGTGACCCCCCTCTGAGCCGCTTTGATCCTGATTCCCTTTAACACTTGGATCCTCAACGTGATGATAAAAGTCATCCCAGGAGCGAAGCGGCTGGAGCCCAGAACAGTCTGTTTATTCAGGCAACTGGGGTGACCACAGCGTTTGAGTTCCTGCTACTTTTTTTTTGGTTTAGAGAAACGTGCCAGACTTTGACACTGGGACTGGTGCTTTCCCGTTAGGCCAGGAACCCATTAGTATCACATTTAAGCACAACACTGAGCTTCTTATGACACTGCTGCTCGTAAGTATAATTTTGATCAGAATTTCAATTCTTGAACTGGACCTACAGAAATGGAAATTCCCATTGGATTCACAGTCACAGACTATATACCCTGTTAGTGTATTAGTGGGTGAGGTGCTCAAGTACCACCTACATGAAAAGATTGTGTCAAAGCGAACACACTATCAAATTAAATCAAATTTAATCAAATACACATTTTTTTCACACAATAAGCATTTATTATGTCCCAATTCACAGACATGAGTTTACACTGACTGGAAGCATGGACTTTACTAAAAAATTAAATATTTCTTTGAGGATTACAGAAACAGAAGATCTAAAGGTCTAAAACCCGCAACCTGAAATAATTAAAAAGAATAGTGGCACCAGTAACAGCATCCCAACTGTCTTTTGTCAACACACTGAAAAGGCTGGACCACAGGTCTCCACATTCCTGGACCTGGCTCCTGGATACAAGGCACCACACCAGATCAGTCCCTCACACAATACGAGATAGGGAAGTATATGCACACCAAGTCTGTAGTAAAAACACTCTCATACATGTTTAATATAGACTTAAAGCTAAAAGCAGGAGATGAATGAAGTTTTCATAGCACAAATTATGAAGGAACCCGCTTATCTCGACAAGACAATAGTGTAGTTTCCTAACACATTCATTAGTTATGAAGATAAGAGTTTATTCATGTTGATATTTTACAATCACAAACCAGTTTTAGTGTAGTAGAACACACCCCAGACTATATTGTAAATGCATATAATATAAATGAAAACATTTTAATTATTAAAGTCACAGTGATAAAATCAAGGATTTAACATGAACATACAGATGTTGCTAGAGTGTATAGTGAGGGTTACATCATCAGTATTTACTCATGGAAAAATAACAGTAGAAAACTGGTTTCTATTTAAGGCTTTCCTGTAAAAGCACTGAAGATCATTTGCAGCTTGATTTAAGCTGCAAACCAAACAACCTATAGACATGCTACAGGCAATACCATCACATAAATATCCACTTAGATTCATAATTCATTGTTTCTTTATTACCACCAGCATTCATGTGAAACTGAAATCATGAAAGATTCAGAGTAACATGGAGTGTATCATAGAAATCGTATGAAAGTAAGGGGCAGTTGTTCAGACAAAAGGCAGCTTATCGATGGCTGTGGTTCACCATTGAGTGAGACCTGAACCTCACACACAGCTGGTGCATGCAGCAGACACACGGGATCATTATGCACCCCCCATTCAGCTGCATATCATACAGACTGAGACCCACCAGAGGCACACATATGTGGAGTGAATTATTAACACATTATTAACTGGCATCCTGGAAAACAATAGAATATGGTCATTCAGATTGTCCAGGTACTGAGGTGACTGCTTCTTTGGGCACATACCAATCAGTATATGCTGCCTTTATCCATTGGGGGTTCTATTCTTCTCGCTTTTCTAATTCACTGTTGTTTTTGTAAGGAGACGTTATACCAAAAATGTGCCCATTATCCCAAATAATGAGATGGTCAAAAGGTTTCTGAAAGTATGACCTTCAGATGCAGAGGTGGACAACACCAGGAGCACACAGGCTAGGAGAACCTGGGACATTAACATGGGCTGGGGAAGCATGAAAACCTGAGAATACCGACAACCTGCTGCTTTACCCTGGATAAAGAGAGGGAACTGTTTGCTCAAAATTATTCTTCAAAACCATGGCAACAGATTTTACAACTGATCTTTAAAGAATTCAAAATATAAAAACCCACACTCCATTTGTCTAAGATATGATTTAAGTCAACACCTCTATCTTTGCCATGAAGCTTGTGAATGTCAAAGAATTAGATGCAAATATGGTTTATTTCAAAATAGTTTAAAGTTTAGGTGGATCATTCTTTTGTTCTTGGCACGAATTAGAAAACCAAACTGTTGAATGTGATAATAATGTGTACTGTAAACCACATTGATTGATTCAATGAGATAATGTAAATGTAATGTAATTTAAGGAGAATTGTTATTTTTGTATTCACAGAATTACAACACATTGGATATAATGCAAAAGACAATGCATCTATATGGGAATGTTTTTGTTTACCCTGGAGAAGACTAGATTACATCAAGCAGCAATTTTACTCCATAGAAAGGCATCCAATTTATTTTACATTACATTAGTGTGGCCCTGTAGTAAAATGGCAACAGAGTAGAACTTTATCATGGGTAATCCTTCTTCACGTAAATGATTAGTAAAATACAGTATATGAACAAGGCAAGAGTGTTGAATCACTAAAATGTATACATACCTGTACAAGATATTCAGAGCCAATCTAGTGCTCACAGGTAGAAGTTTAGCCATCACTAAACCATATTCCATATGAAAAGCCCTCACTGGTGAAGCGTTTGCATTCTTATATTCTTAAAAAGACAGATTAATTTTAAACACTTTCTTGAGCTTTCTAACGGCATCTTTAGGCTAAAGTCTGCCATGGTTTCCAGCAAACCAGCATTGGTTTTGCTTCTAGGACTGTGGTGACCGCTTGGGTTGGTTAAGTCCTCTCATATGTTGTCCTTAGATCTCGTTCCTCTGTCAGCTGAGGGTAATCGCCAGAGTGAGGGTGACGGCCAACACCACAAGCACCAGAAAAGGGAGCCAGGTTTTTAGAAAAGCTGCACAACTGGACAAGAACAATGTGTTAAAATATGGAAACACATTCAGTTCATGGATTAGATTAGTTGCCTATGAGACAAAATATTGTTTGATAATAAAAAATAGGCCTGTCACAATAACCAATAACGATGCACGATATACAGTAATACCATGCAATTTAGTAGCATACGCATTTCCTAGCACATTTCATTCAAAACTATGTTTTACCTGACATGTTTTCCACGGATGAGGGCAAGCAGACAGAGGTTGACCATGTTCCATGAGGTGCTGTTTTCATACCGCATCAAATTGAGCGCCATGGCTACATGGGAATGACAGTTGTCACAGCAGAGGTTATGCTTCAACACAAGACAAACACTAGTTAGAAGCAAGACTTCACAGAACATGACCCATTCACACGGGTCACAGCCTGCTTTCCTACCATCCTGTGCTTGTATTCCTCTGAGGCATCGTGCACTGCAGTGTCCCAAGCATTGGAACCACTGCTATAAACTTTGCTAACATCAAGCATCCAGTACCTAAAAAACAAAAACAAAATGAAGAAAAAGGTATGTATTGATGGAAGAGTAAATGTAAAATGGGACAGACTTACTTTGTCGGTTTTCCAAACGCCATGTTATCTTCCTGCACAAATCAAACAATGTAAAAAAATATCATCAATATACTTTCTCATCAATGGAAGTATGTAAACTTGTATCTTTGTACTTTTTCAGCACATGTATTATCTCACTTTTGACTTCTTTAGATATTTATATTCATTTCAGTGAATGTGACACACTGAACATGTATCTCACGACATGGTTTCCTTTTCAACATTTACACTTTTGTACATCTTCAGTTAATGAGTATTTCCAATTTTTCCATAAAATATGGAAGGCAAACTCAGTATAGTTATATGGAACATTCTTTGTTTGTGAATTGTAGGCTAGAAGGCATCTTTCTGTGTTGTACTTTCTTATGGATTAGCAATACAAAGGCTGACTCACTGAAACGTAATATGGCCCGGCAAAGTCTCGAATGATTCCAGTCGAAGTGCAAATACCCATGTGTCCAATGAAAGGTAGCAGCCATCTGAAAGTGACAAATAACAGCATTACAAGCACCATATCCACACCTGCTATACTCACACAGTGATCTGAGGGAAAAGTGGAAGGAAAGTGAGAATCTTGTTTAGTCCTCTAATATATCTCTCTGAATGTAAATGCTGTATGTGAAGTGCTATACAAGTAATGAGTGCTTGGTTAGTCCATAAATCCATATCCAAGACGTCTCATTTACTCCAACTAGTGTGAATGAGTTATTATGTGTAAGAATGAATAATTAGCAGTTTGGTAACTTCAAGTTTGCCAGTTTTCCCCAGGGGAGCTGAGGCTGCGATAGTCACTTGCCACTAGTAAATGTAAAGTGGGTGATTATAGCAATATAAAGTCTATTTTATTAACATTATTTGCATTAAGGCTAGTATAAAGGTAACTAATGTCTTATCTCCGTAATTGTTTTATTGCTAACTAATTGTACATTATGCGACCCGCTTACACTGCTTTAAACGCTTAAATCAACAATGTAAGCTTTCTAATATTTAATCTGTTTATATATGTCACATCAGCAATATGTGTACGTGTGTGTGTGTGTGTCGTTAGCATGCTAGGCTAACAACACATGAAGCTGTCACTTGATCCCGGGTAGGCTTAACTGGTCATTAGCAGTAAACTTACGATAACACGGGAATCGGGGTCCAGACAATACAATAGGGAAAGCGACCAGCCCCTGGGTCTATTTTCTCTGAAGCTAAATGATAATTCCTCATAGTCTCTTTCTCAACATCCGCCATCACCAGCAGCAGCAGCGGTGTGAGCGGAGTCAAGCCTCACGGAACTCAGGCAGTCAACCCGGAAGTGGCGACTGTAAACAAACAGCACGTTTCCGGGAGTAGATGTTTAAAAGTTATGTTTACGCGTTTGAACTATACACATGATTGGGTCATATAAAAACAAAACAAGCCCTTGTCAATTTTGATTGCATTTTGTATCTAAGTTAAGTTTGTAATTTGTAGATATCTCGGCTACATTATTCAACTAAAATATCAAGGTTTAAAAGTCAAAGTTGATTAGTATGGCACGAAAATAGATCTGGAATTTCAGAAAACTACTGAAGGGCAAATGGTAATCCTTTTAAATACAAAGGCCAAATAGTAAGTAATGGCATTTCTGTAAATGTTTGTGTTACACATACATTCTATGTGTTACACACACAACCAGTGTGGATGGCAAATTATGATAATATTGATCATAAACTACCACTTCTATGTAATTTGCATTGTACTGAATACTGACATTAATACAAATTATCATCCACTTAAATACTAATAATAATAATAATATCTGTTGCGAGTAGTAATATTTGAAAATAAATAAACAGCATTTACATTACTGCCCTTTGCTACTATGAAAAGACTAGAAGTCCACTTTCTAACCAACACCTCAAAAGATTCTCAAGAGCCCTTGAAACAAGTGAAAGGATAACAAGTCTACACAGTATCTCTTCTTTAATTGAGTGCTGCCCAATGCTCTTTGTTTCTTTTGCACTGGACATTGGTGGATGGTGGCTGTGGAGGCAAAAAGGAAACCCAGGGGATCTACTCAAGCTCAGTGTACTCCATACTGGGTCCCATTAGAAGTGACAGGTGATATATTGTGCGAAAATAAAAAAACAAACTACTCAGCAAAAGCTTGCAGACAGTGATAAACGAAGGCACACTGGACTCGTCTCTGAGCGCAGGGAATTCTCCAGCAAAATGCCACCTCAATATCTGCCCGAGCCGCCCAACCCAATTAGGCCAGGAGATATGTGTGGCTGCTCTCTCCTGTGCAGTCAAAGGTTGTCAAAGTAAAATGTCAAGTGTCTATTTGTTTCCAGAGAAGCTCCTTGGATAGTTTGAAAGGAAGTAGTTAAATCTTAAGTATGGGCCCATGTTGGACACTATTGATCTAAACTGCTGTTGTTTAAAGAGCCACACAACCTGTCTTGAATTCTCTTTGGGCCGAGTGCTATTCTTTTCCACAGTGCTCAGCACATTTTAATGAACGTCTTTGAGCCAGGATATGATAAAAATGAATAAATACAAAAGCTAGTTTTAATATGTTGCCTCTATGCTGACAAATACAGTAGCTAAAACATTTCATGTCCAGAGCATAAAAATGTCTTCATTCGCAGTTCTCTGTACCATTTAACTTATTATTTGGAACCTTAGTCTCTGCGAGTTGTGGCCCTTATGCTCCCACTCAGTTTGAATGGGATGATTTGGATGAGCGTCCAAAGTGAGGCCCGCGAACCAAATGCAGCCCGCTGTGTCATTCTATGTCGTCATCATTCAGTTTTTTTTCACCGTGTTGTGTCTTGTTGTTTGTCCATACTTTTTGTTTTGTCTTTTTGATATTTGGTTGGTTGTAGTTGGGGCTTCATTTCTTTCTTTGAATTGTCATTGTCATTTGTCATTGGTTGTCAGGCCTTGAAACAATGCAAATAAAAACAATTACAAAAATGTCGTTAAAAGTTTTTAATGAATTTGTCATTCATCCAACATCTCCACCACTATAGTCATGCTGTATTTCATTTTATTTATAGTTCTACTGTGATGCCAGTGACATAGAAAAAGCAGCAGATGAAGTCCCACAAGATTAATATGGCTACCACAACATGAGTAAATCCCAGAAATATAATCAATAAAAATGTAAACGACCCATTTAAAAAAAAAAGTAACTTGAGAAAAAAAATGATGGTCTGGTTTCACATGTATTTGGTTTAGTATAGGTAAATAGGCTCTGTAAAAAAAAAAAGAAATAATCAAATGTGGACATCTGTAAATATGTAACAAACTTCCGCAGCTCAATCATCAAAGGCATCACGTCCGTTACACAAATAAACAGGGTCGCTAGAGGAAACTGGACTAATGTTCAACACACTTATCTTCTGGCAACTACTGATGGACTGAAGAGGTATTTGGATAAATGAAAAACATAATATGTCTTATATTATTCAAATCACATTTTTGGCCTTCTGCCACACTTTTGTGCCCTTTAGTGTGAACAAGCCCATCTAAGTGTGATCTCTCAGTGAATATGGGGCTGGTCAGTGCAACAGGTCATACATGGCAATGGTGAGAAAAAGGCGAATTTTGTTACTTTTTGTAACAGTTCTATGCACAGTTAACAACTGTTTTTAACCTAGATTTGAAAACTGCCAGCCTGTCTCACATTCTCAGGAAGACTGTTCCAGATATTAGTGGCATGAATCTGAAATGCTGCCTCCCCATGTTTAGTTCTGACTCTGGGCACTAGCAGGAGACTAGTCCCTGTGCTCCTCAGAGTCCGGGCTGGTTTGTATGGTACTAACATGTCACAGATGTACTTTGGTGCAAGGCCATGGAGAGACTTGTAACAAGCAGAGCTGTTTTAAAGCCTCAGGAAGCCAGGCACAGACCTGAGAACTGGACTAACGTGATCATAATTCCTGGTTCTCGTTAGGACTCGACCTGCAGTGTTTTGAATGCCAAAGTACAAACTAAATTACTATTTTTATTATTATTGAAGATTACATGTTTGTGTTTTAGGATAGAGCTGCAAACACATTTATTAATTTGTAACATTTCAAAGTCTGGGACATACCAGAACATTGACATAGTTACTGTAGGTTAAGTTAAATACTGCCCCTTAGTGGATTCAAAGGGTTATAACAAGAGTTCCCATACTGTGGTAGAAAAAGAGCCTTTGGCGGTGTATTTCCTTTGTCTTTTTTCTTCCACACAAGTTATGGATAATCCCTAAGTACTCATGGTTTTTGTGCTTGGCCTGTTTCACAATAGATTCACTGTCACCTTTGTACATAATGGAGTACAATGAGAAGACAACAAGACTGACCTACTAAATCAAGAAAATCTGGTTTGGTTTGTCAGATATTGTACAAAACGGCCATCTACAATGTATGTGTGGAATTGGAACTGGTTTAATAGTCACTGTTTCTCATGTTACACATCTCACCTGTGTACTATTTTCCTGTTTGTTGTGGGCTGGGCAGCTGGCCATGTGGGACAGGACACGAATCAGCAGATGAAATATAGTACATTGTTTCATGCTTTTCCATCCAAACTTATATCATTTTAAGGTACTACGTAATTCTCAAATTAGGCTAAATGTAAACAGATTGTGTTTGCATTTGTTTTCGATGAGTAGATTTCTGCATAGGTCAATTAAAAAATCACATATTCAAACACACAATATTTTGTGTGTCTAAAATGTTAATTTTGCCACAAATCTTTCACATCATGGTATTAAACCTTTTCATCATATTGGAGACACACATACAGTACAGACCAAAAGTTTGGACACACCTTCTCATTCAATTTCTCAGTTTCCTTTCTTTTCATGACTATTGACTGTAGATTCACACACAGGCTGTGTAGGGGCTCTTTGACCAATAAGGAGAGTGGTAGGTGCTGGGCCAGATGACCTGACCTCCACAGTCACCGGACCTGAACCCAATCCAGATGGTTTTGGGGTGAGCTGGACCAGAGTGAAGGCGAAAGGGCCAACAAGGAGTTAATTCATAGTTGTGATGCCTTCAGTGTGAATCTACAATTTTCATAACCATGACAATAAAAAACTCTTTGAATGAGAAGGTGTGTACTGTACTTTTGGTCTGTACTGTACGTCATTGTTTATATCTGCGGAGAGGCAAGAGTTTTGAATTGAAAAAACGCATATACGTTACAAATTATACACAGCTGGCAGAACCAAACCACTGTGTATGTTCGTGTATGTTTAAACTGCGTGGATTTATGGCAGAGAAACATGGCAGCTGTGTTTTGCAGCTTTAAACAACTCAATTCCAACGTATTACTCACTATACTGTAACAGAAACATATTCCTGATGCATGTTGAAGTAACTGTCCTACCACTACTGTATGAGTTATACAAGAGTCACAGACAAAGATTATTTCAGAGGAGAATCTAAAGTTTACTCTGCTCGCACACATTACTACAAAAACATTTTCCACGGTTGTGTAAAGACACTGAATCTCTTGCAAAACAGACTGAACCCAGTTGCACCATGCTTTTTCTACTTTCCACATGAATGTCCAAACAGTCGGTGGGCCAGCCGTGATCACAGAGTTTCTTTTTTATCAGCAATGAATTCACGAGTTTTAAAAGGCTTACACTTGTACAATAAACACACAACATGTACAACCACAAGAACAAAGCAGAACCAATATTGTTGCTTCAAATGACACTCTGTAAGGTTTGTGTTGTGTACAGAATAGATTAAGTGGCCTATACTTGAAACATCATTTTAGTAGTTTAAATACGGTCAAAACAGAAAGTAAACCTCTGACTCTTAAATCAGAAATTAATCAGCATTCTCTAATATTCCAAAGTTTCACATATATAATGCATTAATCCACATGACCGAGCACAAAACGTTTTACTTCAAGAAAATACAATCATGGAGAGGCAGCAATTCAGATTCATGCATGCAGCTAAAATCTGGAACAGTCTTCCTGAAAATGTGAGACAGGCTTCTTCTCAGAAAATGTTCAAATACAGGTTAAAAACAGTTCTGTTTAGCGTGATTTTATCTTCACTCTTATTTTAATATATGGTGATTATTTATTATTTGTTTATTTATTATGTGGTTGTCTCTGTCTTGTGTCTTGTTTTGTTGGGTCTTTTAAGTTGTCTTTTGTATGATGTGCTATACAAAAAACGTATTAATAAAGTCTTGCCTTGCCTTGAGTGTGTGTGTGTGTGTGTGTGTGTGTGCATGTGTATGTATGTGTGTGTATGTATGCACACCAGATACACTATACACACCGTGCACACACAGATACGCTATAGACACACCAGATGCAACTATTGTGTTTGTGAAATATGCCAAGAATGTGTGTCTGAGTTGTTTCCAATTGCAGAAGTGACAGGAGGTGCTTTTATTTTGTAAGGACGCGTTGCTCTCTGAGCTTGTGCAAACTTGTAGAGCCGCTCAGACGCCCTGTGAGTATTCCACTCCCGACCGCAGTCCATCGCGGCAGAAGAGGCGCACCACACCAAGTCACCGCGTAAACTGAGGATTACTCCACCAAAGTCCACGGTATGAAACTACTTTGTCTTTAAACTACTATTTAACCTTCACTGGACTAACCCTGGACAAACACAGTATTCACCTGAAGAGAAGAAACTTTCAGTCCGCCAGTGATGGGTGGGGATAGGCGCAACTTTTTTCAAGATTTCAGCTTACACGATTTTATAGAAATTGTTTTACGAATCTTCTTATCTGCCTTCACTATGTTGAGTATTCATCTTCACTGATACAAATGTAATGTCTTAAGAGTAGATCAGTGGGTGGTCCTGGTGTGGTGGTATACGGACTTAGCGCCTGAACTCTTCATAAGTTTGTGAATATGACGCACAGCCCTTTGGAGAAGTCAGCATTATTTATCATTGTTTATGGTTGTGACAAAACAACATTGGTACACCATGCGATTGTAATTGAGATAAGCTCGAACTTAGACTCTTTAAAAAATACAATAGATGGTAGCTATAGTTTATGTGTATTACTAAATATGTGTTACTATAGTTTACGTGTATTACTAAACATGTATTACTATAGTTTACATATATAAACATGAATTACTATAGTCCCACATTCGCATTCACAAACCCACACTCATTCACCCTGAACTATTGCACATGTTTTTAGTGGTAGAGGAAACCGGAGTACTCGGAGGAAACCTACGCAGACACAGGGAGAATATGCAAATTACATTCAGTAAGGCCCTGTTCCGACCGGGATTTGAACCCAGAACCTTCTTGCTGAGAGGCGAGAGTGCTATCTACTCAGCCACCGCGCGCCCTTATTAAATATGTATTACTATAGATTACGTGTATTATTATGTTTCACAATTCATTCACTCCACACACGGGTGGTATTTTACATTTGTCAGTGAGTCTTGGATCAGATTAATGGAAGCAAGGCTGCCAATCTGTGCCATCGGTCCCTACAGCCTCAACAGTTAATTCACTCCCGCACTAGTTCCATCTGAGTCATAGGTATGATCGGGTGTGTTCATGATTGGGGGAGGTATGGAAGAGTGCAGTGACGTCGCCAGTGTGGATTGGAAGCTTTTCTTCAGTCAGTGGATCGGGCTCATGCTTCAGAGTAAAAATGGGATTCTCAAGTGATTCAATGTGGAGTTTGCATGTTTCTCGGTGTCCGGGTGGGTTTCCTCCGGGCGCTCCAGTTCCCCCCACCACCCACAACATGCTCCGTTAGTAAAAAGCTGAGCCTCAACATAAGAAGATTGCTTCCCTGGATGCTGGACTGTAGTGACTGCGGCTATTGACAGGTTGTCCTATAGTTTTGGAGGAATGGGTCAAATTTCCCAACACGGAATTTACAATTATGTATAACATGCCATAGCCCTTATTAACCTCTCTTTGATAATCATTTCAAGTACCCTCTGTAATACTGCCGCGTACCCCCGGTTGGGAAACTCTAGCGTATACCATGACCTTATCACCTCTAACTATTACAAGATACAAGAATTTATTTGCCATATACAGTAAAACCACATTGGAAAAACTGTGCAAGACTACCCCAGTGTGCACCAGACTGATTATTATCAATACAACTTCATTTATTTTCTTATCTTCCTTTGTAGGCGCCAGTCCTGCAGTCATGGTAACCATAGTGGCGGAGCACATCGGCCGCCTGTTCATCAGCCTGCAGCACATCCGGCAGGTCCCGCGCATGCTCACCGAGGCTGCCCCCTCCATGCCCGCCACCCTGAGGGACTGCGATGTGCCCGCCCAGCTGCGCGACCGCAACATCACCTCAGGCTACCGGCAACTCCACCAGAACTGGCGCTACTACTTCCTTTCTCTGTTCCAGCGCCACAATGAAACCTTAAACGTCTGGACTCACCTTGTTGCCTTTTTGATCATCCTGGTGAAAGCGTGTGATCTGGCTGAGAACGTAGACTTGGTGAATGACCAGCACGCATGGCCGCTGTGCGTTCTTCTGCTCTCCTCTCTGACCTACACGGCTTTTAGCGTCATCGCTCACCTTTTTGGCAGCAAATCCGAGTTTTCCCATTTTGTCTTTTACTATATGGACTATGTCGGAGTGGCGCAGTATCAGTATGGCAGCGCCGTTGTGCACTTTTACTACGCTATTGACGCCGGCATGCACGGCTACGTAAAGAGAATCTTCATGCCAACTGCAGCCACCTTCTCTATTCTGTCGTTTTTTGGTTGCTGCTATGGGAAGTATAACGCCTCACGTTCATCCATACGTAAAATGGGGCATGTAGCACCGTCCGCTTTGTCTTACGTGTGGGCCATCAGTCCTGTGTTCCGAAAACTAATCCTTTGGTCAGATTCAAGCCGTGATCCAGCTTTAGTCTATCATTTCGGTCAAGTGGCTTTCTTTCTAGGCGCAGCTGCTTTTTACACCTTTCCAATTGTAGAGAGGTGCTTTCCGGGGCAGTGCAACTTTTTGGGTCAAAGTCATCAGGTATTTCACGTCTTCATGTCATGCACGACCATGTGTCAGCTCCACGCCTCCTACTTGGACTACGTTGGCAGGAGAGAGGTGTACGCGAGCCTGCATGGGAGCGGCGAGTCTGCTTTTTTTGTTCAGCTGTATGCAGGCACCGTGATGGCATGTGTGGTCACCGGCGCAATCGTTTTGACGAAAGTAAATCACACGCTGGTCAAACACAAATGTGCCTGAGCCTGAAATGCGGCGGAATCAGCTGTTACATTTGCACACATAGGAGCATAGAAGGTGCGATGACTGTTTGAAGGTCACTGGGACAGCAAAGAGGGAAGCGCCGAACCCAATATTGGTAATATTTCTGAATCAAATATATCGGTTGAATGATATCGATAAAGTCAATACCCTTAGGTTCAGTTCATGTAATTCAACTATTTATTGGCTGTAATTGACCCAGGATGTCATAGAGTTGTAACTTTTTACTCAAAACCATTTGTAGGTACTTGCAGTATAATAATAATAATTATTATTATTATTATTTAAAGCACAATTAAAAACCTTTTGTGACAATTTAGCAGAGTTTTTTCCTTCTCTGCATTGGTTCATATCAGTTGTTGGTAGATATTGAAAGCCACAGTGTCATTAAGCTGAATAGGTGCATCTATAATAACATGTTTTTGATTGTTTTACTTTTATTTGATTAATAATACAACTTCAATACATTTTATTTCATGTTGTTTGGTAATATAACAACCATATATTAGATATACAGTATAAGACAAAATACTAGGGCTGTAATTGAGTGAGTAAGTGCCTGTTCTTTTTATTAATACATTATTTTTAGACCTTTAAAATATGGGTCCCTTTTCAAAACTCATGACACGTTTGGAAATATTTGATGATTGATGATGATGATTTGATTTTTATTTCGAGCTACACAACACACAACACAGGCACAATAGCCAGAAAAAATAAAATAAAAATAATTAACATTCTAGCTCGAAAAGGAGTGGGAAGAAGACAAGCTTATTGACTCCCACCCCTGTTCGTAAAGTTAAATAATAATGTGGTTGCAACAGTAACAATGTTTAGTTCTTAGTATCTTACAAAACAATTAGGTTGGTTACATATTTACAGATTAAGTCAACTTTATAACAAGTTTATAATTTTGTTTCCTATACCCATTTTATTACCATGTTGGTATTACTGTTATTCACCATCATCATTATCATTATCACCACAGCCCATATAACATTAGTCTATATCAAAGTGTTTGAATGATACATAACATACTCCACTTTTATTCATGAAAGGCACAATGATCGCAGACTGATTTGAATCCAACTATTTCTTTCTGCAGTAATAGCAACAGCGATTGTTTCATTAGGTAATTAGTTGTGATTATTCTGTTAACTTATAGCACTGACCAAGATGTCTGATGAAGATCCAATCGTGGATCATATATTTTTGTATCGGCCTCAAATGTCTTGAATGAAGTTATGGTGTGGCACAAATATACACTGTAGAATATTAAAGGCCACAGTAATAATTTAGACTAGACAATTGTGATTAAGAATTGTCTGAGGAAATGCTGGGTGGAAGTGCAAAGTTTAGTGTTAGAATAGGTGTTGACCTGAGATTGTAGTATCAATGAAATGTCAACAGTGAGACTGTATTTTCATGAACTAAACTGTGATGTAAGAATACACATTTTTACTCTTAGTTACGACTTAGAAGTTAAACATCCTGTTACACTGGACGTGCCTGGAGTGAAACTTTTGCAGAAGGTGATGTTTTTGTCTTTGCTCAAAGACAAGTTGAAGCTTGCTTTTACTGAGTAGCACGTGGCCATTTTAGCCACTGTAAATGGAAAGGCCATTATTCTTTTTGAGGCTGAGGAGATCCAGACTGCACTGTATAAATATAGAAACATTGATGATGTACATGTATAGGAGAGTGAGTTTACTAAGTTTACTTACACAAGTGCCTATGTTACACTTTGTGATTAAATAAAGTATATTTATTTACTAATAAAGAGAATATATATTGATTACCATGTCATTTGTCTTTATTATGGCTTCTCTGGTTCCCAACCTTTTTTTTGCCTGTACCCAGTGCCCCGCAGACAAGGCACAGCTACCCCTGTTGTTTCACAGGATCACATTCCTTCTAGTACGGTGCAACATGTGTTTTTAGGTCTTACGATCAAACCAAGTCTCTGTCATTTTATTTAGGAAAAGTTTGGATACACCTCATCATATGCATCTATTTAATATTTCAGTTTTCATTTAAGTTATTCAACTTTTGTTTTAGATTATTGCATAGTGGGTACATGCTTGGCCTGAACCAACACTGGACCAAAAGTAAGTAGACCAAAAACTTAGAATATAATAAAGAGTACAATATAGTGGTTTTCTCACACCATAGTGGTCCAAATGAAATTCTCTTTGAAAAATCATCTCAAGTACAACTTGTAATACCGTTGCATTACCCCTGTTTGGGAAACACTGGCGTATGACCTTAAACTACATTATTAGGCAAGGCAAGGCAAGTTTATTTATATGTCACAATTCATACACAAGGCAACTCAAAGTGCTGAACAAAATAAGAAAGCATTAAAATCATAAATAATCACAGAACATTAAAAAGAAAGATAAAAATATAAAATCCCTCAGTTGTATGCACAGCTAAACAGGACTGTTTTTAACCTGGTTTTAAACACTGTCAGAGAGGAGGCCTGTCTCACATCTGTTCCAGATTTTAGCAGCATCCATCCATCCATCCATTTTCTACCCTTTAATCCATTTCTGGGTCAGGGGGGTGGCAGTCAGAGATGCCACCCAAGTCTCATAGCACCAGCCCCTCACTGACCCTCTGCAGGTGGTGAGTCCACAGGAGGACGGCTGCTCTCTGAGTGTGAGCATAGCCTTGATCTTTCAGTGGGAGCTTTGGGCAAAGTGGGGTTAAGTGTCTTGCCCAAGGACACAACGACAGCAGTCATCAGTGGGAGTCGGTGGAGAAGGTGCAGAGGTGGGATTGAACCCACAACCTTCTGGCCTTAAGGCCAATGCTCTGCCAACTGAGCTACTGTCGCCCTCTTTTTAGCAGCATGAATCTGAAAAGCAGCCTCCCCATGTTTAGTTCTGACTCTGGGCACTAACAGGAGTCCAGTCCCTGTGCTCCTCAGAGTCCGGGCTGGTTCATATGGTACTAACATGTCACTAATATATTTTGGTGCGAGGCCATGGAGAGACTTGCACACAAGCAGAGCTGTTTTAAAGTCTATTCTCTGAGCCACAGGAAGCCAGTGCAGAGACCTGAGGACTGGACTAATGTGGTCGTACTTCCTGGTTCTAGTCAGGACTCGAGCTGCTGCATTTTGAATGTACTGCAGCTGTTTTACAGCCTGTTTGGACAGACCTGTGAGCAGGCCATTGCAGTAGTCTAACCTACTGGAGACAAATGCATGGATAAGAATCTCCAAGTCTGCTTTAGACACTATGTTTTTGATCCTGGCAATGTTTTTAGATGGTAAAAAGCTGATGATGTTACTGATTTGATGTGGCTATTAGAATTTACGTCTGAGTCCAGTATTACCCCTAGATTTCTGACCTTGTTTGAAGGTTTTAGGGAGAGAGACTGTAGGTAACAGATGACGCTCTCTCTTTGTTTCTGGGGACCAAAGACAATCATTTCAGTTTTGTCTGCGTTTAGCTGAAGGAAGTTGTTTTGCATCCACTCACTGATCTGTTGGATACAGTGAAGGAGTGAGTCCACTGGTCCATGTTCTCCTGCAGTCAGTGAGACATAGATCTGAGTGTCGTCTGCATAGTTGTGATAGGACACTTTGTTTCTGCGTATTAACTGACCTAACGGCAGCATGTAGAGAGACATTAGTATATTTATTTACTAACATAGAGTACATACATTTCTTATGACAGTGTTTCCTACGTTTTCTTTTTTTTGCCTTTGGCACATCTTTTTCATTGGAAACAATCACACCACCAGCTGAAACTGACACCAAAATGAAACTGCAGCTTTTAACAACAAAGCAAAGTCATTCACATCAAAGTGGAAAATCCAACAAGCACAAACAAGTCTTACTGACAAGTTTTTTTGATCAATCAGGTGATATTGGCACGTTTCCAAAGGCACACCAAACCGCACTGGTTGAAAAACACTGGCTTCTGTCCTGCCTGTCTGGTTCTTTAATGTTGTATTCATCATCACTAATACATGTTACTGTCCAAGATGAATCAGTTCGACATTTGTGGAGGGTTCCGGCAGATTAGCTTACATTTAGCCTACATTCATCCTCCTCCCAGGCCTCTCATTCTTCTGCTGGGGAATGGTGCTGTGCTCATTAGTGCACCGAGGCCAGCCAGGGTCATAGTTTCGGTACTGCTTCCAAATGTGAGATTAGCTGCGTTCAGGCCACTCAACAGGCAGACCGGGCACACTCAGTTCGCCTTTTAAAAGTTATGAACTTGTAAAACTGTATTGATCGGTAGCTCAGAGTGATGGTTTGGTAAAATCTTCACGTTTAGTCAAAGCAAAGCCAAGCATTTCCCGAGCCCATTCTGCTGCCAAGCAAGGCTTAACTGTTTCACTCCAACTTCAGTTCTCTGTTCTTCTTTTCACCCACATCACGTACGTTCATTTTTATTGAATGATTTGAACGACATACAGTTTTTGAGAATTGTATCATTATTACTTTTTATCTATTTTTTGCAGAAAGTATTTGAGTGTTCTAAAGAGCATACCTCAAAAAAGGAAGATCCCAGTTCTTAATAAAGTAATGCACCAGTTCTTCATAAAGTAATTTACTAAAAACGCAAAAATAAACATGTAATTCTTTCAATGTAGATGTAGAAGTTTTAGAGATATATATCTTCTCTGTACATTGGACGAGTTATGGCCCAGTTTTCCAGGCAACACCCTTCTGGCGATGTCATACTAAACAACCAAAAATTATGTAATAAAAGTTTGGTCTGGAATGAAAATGGAAAATCTTTGGCAAATTCTTTTAAAATCATGATGCCCCTTAAGTCAGGAGGCCAGTCTGGAAGCCAGGCTGTCCATCAGCCACCTACTCTCTTTCCCACCAGACAATGTGAGTGACGTGTCTTGCCTAAGGACACAAAAACTGTTTGAACTAGAGCCACAATATCCCACAGTGGCACTTTATGTAAATTATGTACATGGTGTGGGAGTCATTTTTTTCTTCTACTTCCTACTGCAAATATAATCATCATTCATGGTGAAACCATAAATATTGCTTTTGTTTATGCATATTTATGCATGTACATATAAATGCTTGTGTATTTGTACATACAGTGCAGTTGGCCAAATAGGATGAATGCATGAATATAATATTTCTTCTTGAATGAATGAATAAACTGAATTGTGTGCAGTAGTAGAGCCCTATTTATTAAAGCCCTGTTTCCACCAGCCCCACCCAGTCCTACTCTGCTCTACTCTACTCTACTCTACTCTAGAGTAGGGGTGGGTGGGTGCATTTCCACAGGCCCTTTTTAACCGGTACCAGGTCCTTCTTTAGTCTCTCTTGGTCCTGGTTCTATAAAGATCGAGCTGGTACCAAAGTTTTGTAACTGACAGAGATGGGCCACTGCTTGAAGCCATGGTCACCAAAGAATTTCCACAGATACTGGTTTGTAATGGGTAGGTTGCTAGGATACGGTACCAGATACTAAAGCGTAATGGAAACACAACCAGGTAGAGTAGAGCCAAGTAGAGCAGAGTAGAGTTGGGCCAAGTGGGTCTTGTGGAAACAGGGCTCAGGATGCGTCTAATATAGTCTCAACAATAGATTATCAAGTTAAATATGAGTTCTTATGCACTTCAAACACTATTAAAATCGCTTACTTAAAATCGTATCAAAAGTTGCCTGTATTATTCTGAAACATCCGCTGACCGCTCGCTTCCGGGTGCGGACTGCGGAGCGTTGACGGCAGAGGCGCTGGAGCTGAGGCACAAAGCGGCAGGTCAGCAGCAGTCATGGGAGTCAAACTGTACTACACCACTGTTACTCCGTCTCGCTCGGTAAGTCCTCTCTCGGTACTCTCAAGTGCGCCTTCGGTACGCGCCTCATGACGTCTGCGCGCCTCTCAAAGGGAATTAAAAACCCCATTCCGATAGACACACCCAGCAACAACAGCAGCAGCAGTAGAAGCTTCCTCCTGACCGAACCAAACCTGGTGGGCCTGCTAATATTAAAACCCATCTCTGATTCTCACGGTTCTTCTTTATGTATTTGTAAACACGGCGTAGACTCCGGATAAGTTACTTACAATGAATGAACGCATGCATGGCTTATCTAAATTCTGCTGCGTTGGCAATTGTTGAGCTTGGCAGTCTGTTTTACGGGCACTGGGTTTTTAACTATTTTATTTTTGGCAAGGAGTTGACCAATCTACGCGTTGATGAATTGCCTCACTTCTGCATTATATGCGTTGAAGAGGAAGTCCACACTATAGGACATTATAGGACATAATGTTTTTCTAGTTTTGATAGAATAGAACTGTTTTTTTTTTGTTTTGCACTTGTAACCTAAATTTGGCACGAGGTGGACTTGGACATCTGTCATCTATTAAGTGAATGGGATTGTCTACATGTATATAGATATGTTATAGACTGTAGATCAAAAATTTGGAGATTACAAAATGCCTTTATGCATGAGTCTGTTTTTCAGTTGGTTGCATAGGTGTGGCCCCCTTTTTTCACAGACCCCCTCCCAACTTCCCCTGTCGTCCAAAATGATAGCGTTGTGCAGCTTTGATAAATCATTACCTAGCAGATAGTTTTCAAGGTGCAGCCTCAGAAAGTAAACACACTGGGTACAATACGTGACCCGGTGCAAGGACTGCGTTGCAAAATGTAATGGGCTTGTATAATGTATTGTAGGGCTGCAGATTGTGAAATGTCGGTTTTTTTAGTATTCTCCTGGCTTTCCTTTTGCAGATAAAGTCCCAGCAGGCTGACGTTACGCGGATCCTGGATAGCAAAGGCATCAAGTATGAGATCATCGATATCGCTCAAGACGGAGAGCTTCGGGAAGAGATGAGGAAGAATGCGGGAGATGCTACAGCTGTCCCACCTCAACTCTTCAATGAGGACCAGTACTGTGGGGTAAGAACGCACCACTCTGAGTCACATGTTTAGTGAACTGTATATTTGTTCAATTCTCCAACAGCTGTGTAACATAAAATCAAAAAAATCAAATGGTCCTTGTCTTTTCTCTACAGAACTACGAAATGTTTTGCGAGGCAGTGGAGGCGGATACAGTGGACCAGTTCCTGAAGTTGAAGTTGATTTGATCGCATTTTTGACCACCCTTCATCTGACCTGCACAACTGGCACTGCCCCATCGTCATCAGCGCCAAAACGAAAGCCAAAAATGTTCACTCTACATTCCCCCAACATCAACATAATTATCGTATTGCTGTTAAGTTATCTTTTGTTTTTATGGAGGAATCTAAACCTGAATGTGCATTAATTGAAATTGACACACACTCATGTTTCCCACGTCTTGCATATACATTATGTCAATATTAGTCTTATAATTATGAGTTTTGTTTTTTTGTTGATAGGTTTCTTTTTCCAGTCTTGAACCACATTCCCTACATTAGTAAATTACAATGGCGCACAGTAGCAACTTCAATGTCTTCTGACGGCCTTAAAGTCTTAATTTCTAGAAAGGCAGGATGGTGGATTGAGTCTGATTTGATTTTCTTGGGTTAGTTAGACTTTAGTTAGCTTGTTTATTTTATTCTTTAATCATTTAACTCCAGTTTGTTTTTCACTTGAAAGTTTTAACTGAAATACTAACCAATTAGTGGATTAATGTTGTTTCTTTACAGGCATAAGGAGACCAAACATCTAACAATAAGTATTGGGATTTAACATTTCAAACATGTCAAGTCATTTCCACATTATATTCCCTAGGTGCCAATTTATTTTGTTTTTAATGTAGTATTAGCACTTATCTGCCACTCAATTTATGATATCAAATTATCATTAATGACTGAGTAAAAGCCAATCATCTCTTTTAGAATTGGCTACAGGTCGAGCAAAGTTTATTTTTCAGTTTTGTTAGCCTTGTAGCTGATCTCAACTTGAATCTGTAATTTGTCCGGATAATGAAGATGCAGCAGAGTGACTTTGCACGATGCCCTGTCTGGTGGTGAGTATGACAGAGCTGGAGTGGATCGACTTATCATTCCTTTGATGTTTTCTAGAACTCATGATGGTACAAGGAGAAACCTTTCACTCAAACCGCTGTAGTTCATGCCTCAGCCTCTTGTCTGTGCTGTTACTGCTCTATGTCGCTCTCCCACAATGTTAGTGCACTGTTTTGTAAATCTGTATGTGTTAGTGTTTGCTTGTTCTTCATATTTTTTCACAATGAATTATATTTTAGACATTCCATTTCTCTCTGTTTTTGGACCATTTCCCCTGGCCAAAACGCATACAATAGGGACTATGCTGTTGTCTTCCAAGAAGATTTGTGAAAAGTGATTTATCGGTTTAAACAATAAAATGTATAAAACTGTGCTTTTGCTTTATTTATTTTCGAAGGACTTTATATTTGGGTTAATAATGGATTATCTCCAGGAGAGGGCGCTGTTGCGATTGCTCACATATCGGTCGTTTTCATTTACACAAAAGCTTAATTATTTTTTTAGTAAATGATTTTACATCGTGTTGTTCTATTAAACTCAACAGAAAGCCTATCTTAACTATCAGCTTTTTATGAGCTACATTAGAGTGTTTTTTTTTATTGTGAAAGAAAACCCGGAAATGCGTTTGTCATGATTTGTTGTCAAACATAGGTGGAAAAAAAGGAAGCTGTGAATTGACAGCTCTCTCGTCGGGTAAGAATCATATGTTATATATAAAAACACTGAATATAAAATTATTTCCGCAGATGTTGTGTCATGTGTCTCCGTGTTCAGTCCCGCTCATGCACTGCTCTCAGGTTAGCTTGCCAGGCTAAGCTAGCTAACAACACTGCTTCATTTTGGCATAATGTGCACGTTTTAGCAGGACTTTTTTTTAACTAAACAGTTAATGGCTAGTGCTATTATGTGGGTACAATTTTCTACAACCTTTCTCCTGATTATACAGCGAGCGTAGTCTGCATGTTTATCACTGAACATGAGGTTATTCCATGTGTTATGGACTTACTTTGAATAGTATTTCTTTATTTATCACACGGTATCACGTTAATATAAATAGCATTGAGCACCAGTTATCTCTTTTAGCTAACTAACCAACACCGCGTTTGTGTCTTTTATAATGTTGTTGCTCTCCATTCTATTCAGATAATGGATAAAAGTAGTACTTTGGGGCTATATGCTAGCTATGTGCTTGTTCCAGGTGTACACTACATGTGTTTGTGTGCTTGTTTGGGTTCATCACAAGATTACTATTGCCGATTTTCTATAGAAGGCATTCCATCTTTCAGAACTCTTGCCATTACAACCCAAGAGGAAAGAGCAGTAACTTACTGATTGCTAGGATCACATAATGGGCTGGGAGCTGATTGACTGTGGTCCTTTCTCCTTAGCTGTCTGTAAAAGCTCTTCTAAAGATGAGACAGAGTCCATGAAATGCATGCATGTGAAACTATGAATAACCAAATTGTTAGGGTTAGAAACAGGAACAATTTGATTGAGTCTATATAAATTATATTTTGTATACAGTAGTAGGATTTTTTATGGTTTGAAAGTCAGGTACTTCAGCTTCATCCTTCATACAGTACTTATTACAGAGATGTTATATTCACACACTTCTCTGTATCTGACTACTTGATAGCCTGGAGATGAGTGTCCCGGACTACATGCAGTGTGCCGAGGACCACCAGACTGTCCTTGTGGTGGTCCAGCCAGTGGGCATCGTAGCCGAAGACCAGTTTTTCAAAATTTACAAGCGCATCACCAGCGTCAGCCAGGTGAACATCCGGGACTCCAATCGCGTCCTCTTCATCCGCTACCGCCACCACTACCTGCCTGAAAACAATGAGTGGGGCGACTTCCAAACTCATCGGAAAGTGGTGGGACTCATCGCCATAACCACCTGCAATTCGGCTAAAGAGTGGCCCCAAACGGCAGAGCGCTTCCACGGGCAGAAAGAAGTCTACAGCTCCACGCTGTATGACTCCCGCCTGCTTGTGTTTGGCTTGCAAGGAGAAATTGCAGAGCAGCAGCGAACAGATGTGGCTTTCTACCCTGGTTTTGACGACTGTGTAGAGGTGGAGAAAAGGGTGGAGGACTTTGTAGAGTCTATATTTATTGTTTTAGAATCGAAAAGATTAGACAGGGCCACAGACAAATCTGGAGACAAGATCCCACTTCTCTGTGTGCCCTTTGAGAAGAAAGACTTTGTGGGGTTGGACACTGACAGCAGGTGAGTTTATGCTCTGCGCTAATATCATACAACATTTTAGTATTGATTGTTCTATTTGTATTTTTTTCCTTTTGCTACGGTATACAGTTATGCTTGAAAGATTACACACCCAGGCAAAAACGTTCATTATTTGGCCATATTTTGTAGATTTTGAATGATAAAACAAAATTGAGTTTTCACTCATTGTTAGTGGTGTAATTTATAGTCAAATAAACAAATTTTCGACAGTAGCTCAGTTGGTAGAGCATTGGCCTTAAGGCCAGAAGGTCGTGGGTTCAATTCCCACCTCTACACCTTCTTCACCGACTCCCACTGATGACTGCTGTTGTTGTGTCCTTGGGCAAGACACTTAACCCCACTTTGCCCAAAAGCCCCCGCTGGAAGATCTCAGCTCCTGTGGACTCACCACCCGCAGAGGATCAGTGAGGGGCTGGTGCTATGAGACTTGGGTGGCATTTCTGATTGCCACCCCCCTGACCCAGAAATGGATTAAAGGGTAGAAAATGGATGGATGGATGGATAAACAAATTTTCAATGTAATAAATACCTCATAAAACCTCTTCTCAGCATTTTAAGTATAGGTTGCAATTAATGATCAACATCCCTACTTCACACAACCACTAATGATTAGTGAAAACAACTTTTGTGTCATCATTCATATTCTCCAAAAATGGCCAGTTAAATGACACTTCTGGCTGTGCAGAAACTTTCAAACACAACTGTATCATGTTTGCATGATGTGTCCATTATCCATAACATTGTCTTCAAAAATCTCCAGCTTGATTTTTGCTGTATTCTTTTTTGTCATCTTGTGTCATTTTGGTTATTCTGCCTTTCTTCTTTCTGTTTTACTGTCCTGTGAGTTTATTGTTGGGGACAAAAAGGTGAGATGTTAGTAACACGAGTTGGTTTACCCATAGTTTTACCATCAGGTACCTTTCCGGCTCCTTTCCGGCTCCTTTCCATTTGTTAAGCCCTTTCCTTTTCAGCTTAAGTACCACCATGGTCTCTATCTATTCAATACACAAGCATACTCCTAGTGAATTATATTATTCAAGCTAATCTTACTCACACCTGTAAAACGAATGGAAAAATATTTGCCTGGCAGGCCTTTTGCTGGCTATAGAGGCGGGCTCCTGGCTCCTGGCTCACATTAGCCACAATGGATCTCATATCGGTATTCATGAAACTGTGACAGCAGCCAGTCTTCCACAGAACTACCGCTATTGAGGCATTTCGACATGGATGTGGAAAAGGCATCCATGTCCAAGAAACGCTGCATTATTCCCCATGAGCACATTTTGTATGCTAGCTTTATTCTTGCTATTCTGACAGTATTCTAAATTTGGTTAGCACTAGGCTACTGTAGTCAAGAAGTTTAGAAAGCGTCCCAACTTTCAAAACATCCCCCATGTCATCCCCATTTGTATGTGATTCAGTGTAAAGTTTGTCGGTCTTATTTTCTTTTTGTTGCTGTTGTGCTGTGCTCCTTATGTTGTGGCCACCCTTAATCTGGGTTAGAGTACCAAATTATAAATATAGCCGTTATTCTCACCATTTTGATTTTAAGGAATTCTCAGTACCTGACTACTTTCATTTGCATTGATTCTGCTGCTGCTGCTGCTCCTTGTCCACAGGCACTACAAGAAGCGGTGCCAGGGCCGGATGAGGAAGCACGTTGGGGACTTGTGTCTGCAGGCGGGCATGCTGCAGGATGCTCTGGTCCACTATCACATGGCAGTGGAGCTGCTCAGGGGAGTCAATGACTTCCTCTGGCTTGGTGGTCAGTGAGGTTTACAAAAACATGTTTTTAGCGTAACTAAGTGCATTTTATTTGTGTAAATGTGAACAAGATTTCACCTTGGAAGAAAACACACTGCTAATATAAGCACACTCTTGCCAGCACTACTTACATGCACTCAGGACTAATCTTCACATAATCAGTAGAAGATCACTTGTTGGATGTATTAATTACATTTATTATATTATTTACTAATATAATAGTCATGTTGTTTTAACGATTGCTTAGAAATATGATCCAGAACATTTGTGATGGTACATTTCAGTCGTAAAATAAATAAATAAAGCACATTGTCTGTGAATTGGCTCTCCAGCTGCGTTGGAGGGATTGTGTTCAGCCTCTGTCATTTTCCACTACCCTGGAGGCACAGCGGGGAAGACTGCAGGACGTAAGCCAAACATATCCCAGGCCACTGATGCAGGGAAGCGTCACCGCCCAGGTACAAAGCTCATCTCAATCCAACAACACTGTATCAGGGGACAATCCCTGTGCATCAGGTCCTAGAAGCTGATTCTCATGTTGGTAACTAACTGGTAATTAAATATGTAATGCAATCATTGCCTGCCTATTCTAACATTTAAATGTGCAACATTTTCCTTTCTTTTTAACAACTACAGATTTGGGCAAGCTTCTTAAATTATAGTTTCTATGGTTGACTTTTTCCTTAGGGCAGGTAATTCACGAATGATTGACAAAGCTGAGAAAGAAGTTTATTGTCATGTACATAGTGAAACACATTGCAATGAATGATTGTGATTGTAATTAGATTTATCATAGTTACTATTTTCCACAAATGTGTTTCTTGTATTTGTTTGAGACCTACTGTTCATATTCATACAGTGCCTTGCGAAAGTATTTCAACCCCAACTTTTCAACATTTTGCCACATTTCAGGCTTCAAACATAAAGATATAAAATTTTAATTTTTTGTCATGAATCAACAACAAGTGGGACACAATCGTGAAGTGGAACGAAATTTATTGGATAATTTAAACTTTTTTAACAAATAAAAAACTGAAAAGTGGGGCGTGCAATATTATTCGGCCCCTTTACTTTCAGTGCAGCAAACTCAGTCCAGAAGTTCAGTGAGGATCTTTGAATGATCCAATGTTGTCCTAAATGACTGATGATGATAAATAGAATGCACCTGTGTGTAATCAAGTCTCCGTATAAATGCACCTGCTCTTTGATAGTCTCAGGGTTCTGTTTAAAGCGCAGAGAGAACCATGAAGACAAAGGAAAACACCAGGCAGGTCCGAGATACTGTTGTGGAGAAGTTTAAAGCCGGATTTGGATACAAAAAGATTTCCCAAGCTTTAAACATCTCAAGGAGCACTGTGCAAGCAATTATATTGAAATGGAAGGAGTATCAGACCACTGCAAATCTACCAAGACCCGGCCGTCCCTCCAAACTTTCATCTCAAACAAGGAGAAGACTGATCAGAGATGCAGACAAGAGGCCCATGATCGCTCTGGATGAACTGCAGATAACTACAGCTGAGGTGGGAGAGTCTGTCCATAGGACACAAATCAGTCGTGGACTGCACAAATCTGGCCTTTATGGAAGAGTGGCAAGAAGAAAGCTATTTCTCAAAGATATCCATAAAAAGTCTGGTTTAAAGTTTGCCACAAGCCACCTGGGAGACACACCAAACATGTGGAAGAAGGTGCTCTGGTCAGATGAAACCAAAATCGAACTTTTTGGCCACAATGCAAAACGATATGTTTGGCGTAAAAGCAACACAGCTCATCACCCTGAACACACCATCCCCACCTCAGCTGTAGTTATCTGCAGTTCATCCAGAGTGATCATGGGCCTCTTGGCTGCATCTCTGATCAGTCTTCTCCTTGTTTGAGATGAAAGTTTGGAGGGAAGGCCGGGTCTTGGTAGATTTGCAGTGGTCTGATACTCCTTCCATTTCAATATAATTGCTTGCACAGTGCTCCTTGAGATGTTTAAAGCTTGGGAAATCTTTTTGTATCCAAATTCGGCTTTAAACTTCTCCACAACAGTATCTCGGACCTGCCTGGTTTGTTCCTTTGTCTTCATGGTTCTCTCTGCGCTTTAAACAGAACCCTGAGACTATCAAAGAGCAGGTGCATTTATACGGAGACTTGATTACACACAGGTGCATTCTATTTATCATTATCAGTCGTTTAGGACAACATTGGATCATTCAAAGATCCTCACTGAACTTCTGGAGTGAGTTTGCGGCACTGAAAGTAAAGGGGCCGAATAATATTGCACGCTCCACTTTTCAGTTTTTTATTTGTTAAAAAAGTTGAAATTATCCAATAAATTTCGTTCCACTTCACGATTGTGTCCCACTTGTTGTTGATTCATGACAAAAATTTTCAATTTTATATCTTTATGTTTGAACCCTAAAATGTGGCGAAATGTTGAAAGGTTCAAGGGGGCCGAATACTTTCGCAAGGTACTGTACTGTATATGAATATTGATATGGTGATTCTAGACTTTTCTAATTAACCAATAATGTTAACAGTTTTCAAACTATTGGTACAAAGTATTGGTACGTAAAAGGATTACATAAACAGCAAAAAACATGATTAGTGTAGCTTATCGTCCAAATAGAGAATTTTAAAAACATCATAGTGGTATTAGAATTAAGTAATGAATCTACACCAAATCAACCCGGTAAAGTTGGTATTGTGACACATCTAGTATAAACTAATTCTTTTGCATGTTTGTAATAAAAGGTTATACAAATTGTGCTATTGATTCTGGGCGTCGCTTTTGGGCTGTGCTAACTCCTTCTGTGCCTGTTGTCATGGAGTGAATCTGCATCTTTGTCTTTGTCTGTAGGAGCTCAAGAGGTTCTCATTGACCCAGGTATGGTATGCCTAACAAGCTCATGTCTGCATGTCATATTTATGGCACGCTTCTGCATTAGCACGCATGTGTTTTGCGTTTTCCATGCCTAGACTTTCTTTTTATTGCAATTTCATTAATGAATTTGTTACTTTTATTCGTCTGTCAAAATTGGTGATTGCATATGTTCTTTGTTGCTTTTGTTTTATACCAGCAGGTGGCAGTGTAGCATTACTTTACTTCCTCTTCTCTCAAGTATCTTTAGCTCCCTTCTTCCACAATGTTTGTTTTTTGTATTGTAAAGCTCTTTATTTTATTTGTCAAGTTATATGTACACTTCAATGGAAACAGGGGGTAAGGAAATTAAACATTCTCGGGACCATTTTCCTATAAAAAACACATGTTTATATGGCAACCATGCTCATATTCATCACCCTAAAAACCCAGGATAAAAATACCATATTTTCTTTGCGTGGTCACTGCATTTGCGAGGCAATATACTCTCAATTTATATTTTCATTCTGATGAAATTTAGCACATTGGTCTTTTCCATAGTACGCTTTACTCGGTCACAAATAGTGTTCCTCATTCCTCCCACATTTGAACATGATGTAATAATAAGCTCTGGACAGCATGATGTTGGTCAATACTTAGCGATGATAAAGTGTGTGATTTGATCTAAGTTAAAACACCAGTTTAACTTTATGTAGGGGGTAGGTCACGTGATTCAATGGGAATAATAATAATAATGATACACTCAAAGACGCTTCACATGTAATTACTCTTTCCCTCCAAACACGGTGGTGGTAAACTACCACTGTGGCCACTGCTGCCTTGGGGCACTCTGACGAGCAGCTGCAAGTCCCATTGGTGACTTGCAAAGTATCTATTGTGAATATATCACTCAGAGCTAGTCAGTATTTAATTACAGCACTTGAGGATTGTAGAAAAAACTATTTCTATTATCATAGTAATATTCCACTCTGAGAATATTTGTAATAAATTCGAGCTCCAGTCATGTCATAAAAATCCAATGCAACAACCAAGATCTTCCTTTTCCTGTTATTGTAATGTTGTAATGTTGTCGTTGCTCATGTGTCTGGTATAACTGGAGCCTGTCCCATCTGTTCAGGTGCTCTCACAGCCAATGGTATTAGTGCAGACACCAGCACAGAGATTGGACGCACTAAGAACTGCCTGAGCCCTGAAGATATCATAGAGAAGTACAAAGAAGCCATCTCCTACTATGGAAAGGTATTTATACTTAGAAGTCTAAAGAACAGAACCTTTTCAAATGTGTTCAATCTACACAAATATCACCTGTATTTATAATGATCAGATTGTGTATCATCTCTGTTCCTTTTTTGCAAACTATTCAACTAATTCCTTACTTTATCTTCATTAAACCGTTTGCCTTTGCTCTTACACCTGTAACTTGTTCATTCAAAGTTAAATTACTTATCAGCATGTCATGATTGAGCGCTAATTAAAATGTAAAATGCAGACAATGAGGATGAAGTGGTAGAAAGTGAAGAGCTCTGAAGACCAGAGCACTCCTGTCTGTCACACTAGTGTTCATGAAAAACATTGTCCCTGAGGCAAAGCTCAGTCAGGATCCATTTTTCATTAACTCTTGCTGTGCTTTTCCCCTCCTTATCTGCTCAGTACAAGAACGCAGGCGTGATTGAGCTGGAAGCCTGCGTGAAAGCGGTGCGGGTGCTAGCCATTCAGAAGAGGGCCAGAGAGGCCTCTGAGTTTCTGCAGAATGCTGTTTACATCAACCTGGGACAGGTGCACCCTTTGTGGCAGCTCAATCTGATAAAACACTACTCTGCATACAATTCTGACACCACTGAGAGTTAACTTTTAGTGCTATGATTATAGTAAATATTATAGTACTATTTGAGAGTATATATACATTTGAATGTATTTATTTATTTATAATGCAGCTGTCTGAAGAGGAGAAAATCCAGCGCTACAGCATCCTGTCCGAGCTCTATGAACTGATTGGCTTCCATCGAAAATCCGCCTTTTTCAAGCGAGTGGCCGCCATGCAGTGTGTGGCTCCCACGATCCCAGAGCCGGGCTGGAAGGCCTGCTACAAGTTGCTGCTAGAGACTTTGCCTGGGTACAGTCTCTCTCTGGACCCCAAAGACTTCAAGGGTATCGTATAATATACACTATATATATTTTTGTTTGTTTACTATGATATGCAAATACTGATCAGTGTCCTTTTGATGCGTATAATTATAGTAGTAGGGCGGCACGGTGGCTGAGTGGATAGCACTCTCGCTTCTCAGCAAGAAGGTCCTGGGTGCAGGGCCTTTCTGAGTGGAGTTTGCATGTTCTCCCCGTGTCTGCGTAGGTTTCCTCCGGGTACTCCGGTTTCCTCCGGGTACTCCGGTTTCCTCCGGGTACTCCGGTTTCCTCCGGGTACTCCGGTTTCCTCCGGGTACTCCGGTTTCCTCCGGGTACTCCGGTTTCCTCCGGGTACTCCGGTTTCCTCCGGGTACTCCGGTTTCCCCTACCACTAAAAATATGTACAATAGGTCTGGCATGCGCCTCATGTACTGGCGAACCCGCTCCCATCTCTGTGTGGAGTGAGAGGACAAATGCCCAAAAATAACAATTGTAAACCGCTTTGCGACTCTGGTCTGTGAAAGGCGGTATATAAATAAAAATGACTTACTACTTACTTACTAGTTATGCACAACTGGAGAAGCTTTTTGCTGAGTTCTTCTGTCACAGCTGTGATTGCAGCCGCCGTTTCTACTCATGCTCAGACCAAAAATAAATATCACCAGTTACATACACATAAATTCAATCTTACCATCCTTCTAAATTATGCTAGTATTACATATTTTGTTTGTTATTCAATTCTAGACAAAGAGCAGACGGCAGGTTGAATTGGTCATAAGTTCTAGGTTTGTTTTATGTATTTATAATGTATAATGTAAAGCAGAGGTTCCCACACTTTTACCAAGATGTACTTTTGTTTCTTTATATTAATAGTAAACAATAAAATGACACACATTTAAGCATGAAAAAAAAATCAGAATAGACAGTATGGACAGAATAATAAAACAGGAACGTATTAATTAGTATGTTTTAATATTGATGACTGGTGTTTAATTGTACATGTTTTATTAAGATCTGTAGTATATTTAACTTGAACCCTTGTGGTACAAATCGTCTCTTAGGTACTCACCGCGGATGGGCTGCTGTACAGATGCGTCTTCTGCATGAGTTGGTATATGCCTCCCGTCGCATGGGCAACCCGGCTCTGTCGGTGCGCCACCTGTCCTTCCTGCTGCAAACCATGCTCGACTTCCTCTCTGATCAAGGTCAGTTCACAAAGCTCTTGAAAAGAATCTTCCATCTTTCCTATGCCTAAAGTAAGTAAACTCACAGGTGCATTTATTCCAGATGAAGAAATCCAATTGATTTCCAGAAAACACATACCTGACACAACTGCAGCATTTAGCTCTGAGCAGAAATCCTACGAAGCCACAAGATGTATTATCTTCTGCGGCAGTGAAAGTCCACTATCCCCACAGTAGAGTTCTTTAACCTCTTAACATCCACCGGCGCTCGGCGAGCCGTTTTTATTTTTAAAATGTTCTGCCGGCAATAGTAGATGTATTTTGAACACCAAACCCCAAAAGCTGTATATCATTTTAAAGCTTATTTTCTTATCTACATTTATATACAAGTGTAAACTACATCAGACTTTGCATTCAAAAAATATAAAACATAATATGGGCACAAAATAAATCACTTCGGAAAAAGTTTTTTACTTCTGGGCTTGTGCTGCATAAATAAATCGGCTCTCCTCCCGGCTTCCTATGGCTCTTTCACTCCCTAATAGTCCAAGGAAAAAGAATATCCACTTGTATTTCCCAAAGTATAATCCATTCTGGAGAAATAATCCAAAAATGTGCATTTATCTTTAGCAAAAAAAACAAAAACAACACAGAGGCTGTTCTTTCACTTTTAGTGGACTTTTAGCTTTGTTTTTCACCCAAACAACTGTAATCCACGTGTTCCGCTACTCCTTAGCTTTAAAATGACACCTTCCATGAATCTCTACGAGCTATTTTGGGTCTGCAACATCTCCCGTGAGTTGGACAAGCGCCTGCATTTTACGCAAGGGGTCACTTCACATTTGTTGTCATTTGACTGCTTTGTATCTACTTCCTGGCCGAAAGATTGACATAAAAAATAGTTTTTTTTCCCAAACTTCAAAGGAAGCAGAGTGAAATAGGAATGACAAACATTATTTTAGTATATATTTACATAAACTAGAAGGCTCTAGCTTTAAAATGATGCTTCACACAAGCATGTGACATGTAAGATGTGTTTTTAAATAAGCAAAGACATTTGGGCATGCCCAACTTTTGTGCACAAGCCAAACTGAGGCGGGTGTTAAGAGGTTTTAATTTGTATCTTATTTTTGATCTCAGCTTGTGTGCGTGTGTGTGTGTGCACCTGTGTAACAAGAATGCTGAGCCAAAGAACAGGGAGATTAAATAAACTGCAATATAGTGTTGAATTCTGCAGTCTTGACAAACTTTGGAAAAGCTCAGCATGCAAGACACATCTCTTTTTTTAGACCAAATGAAACCTTGAGTGAAAAAGAAGGATCAGGACTGATTATAATCTCCTTATATAACATATACTGTGGTTTCTTCAACTTTATTTGTTTATTTTTTCTTCAGAGAAGAAAGAAGTAACCCAAAGTCTTGAGAACTACACATCCAAGTGCCCTGGTGGGATGGAGGTCATCACTCTTCCTGATGGCCTGAAACTTCCTCCAGTTCCCTTCACAAAGCTCCCTATCGTCAGGTTGGCCACTATCTTAAAGAAGACATGTTGTGCTTTTGTCATTATGTATTCATAACTGCTTTATATTAGGGATGCACAATATAAAAATATTGATATCAGCCGATGTGTAAAATTGGGCCGATAACCACAGCCGATGTGTATTGCAGCTGACGCAGCGGCGCAAAGGACAAGAAGTAAATCTCCCTACTCCCTTTGCTAGAATATATTTAACTAACAGGTGTCAATTTTTAGGAAAATGCCAAATAGGAACGGAATAAATGCGGTAGCATTAGCCTGTGTAGCATCTGCGGCCACAGACACAGCTGACAGTCACAGTTCACTTTGCTGACTTTCATAGATATGATGCAGTATTTGTGTGTGGTATACGGTTGTAGTAACCAAGGCAACAGGGAGAAAGAACTGGTAAATACATTTTTGAATGCCAAAGGTCGTCTCAAACCAACATTTTCTTATATAAACTAAATACAGGCTGTACAATCTGATCTGTTAGCTTACTGTTGCAGAGCTTCCCCCTGGAGCTGAAGTCTGTACATCTTATTATTATTTACAGCTCAACAAATCACGGAAATAACAAAGAGTCACATTTCTCGCTTCAAATTTTGTTAAAAGTAACATTTGTGCCTTACTTATTGTGTTATTGATCAAAACTCTCCACTGTCGTCACTTAATACAGGTGCAGGCAAAACCAATCGCTCAACCATGTTCAGGCTTGCTTGTCGATTCTCGATTACAGAACTATAAAAAGTATTTATGAAACACATAAATATTATTATATCTTGAAATGTACAACTTTGAATACCATTTTATACCCTGTTTATCTTGTTTTTATTATCTTGTCAATTTTTATTGGTGAAAATGTATTGTCTATTTTTTTAATCTAGTTATCTATTTTTTTCTTTATTTTATCTATTACTCTTTTTATTAACATATACTGCATTGAAAATAGTTTTCACTCAAAATAAGTGTGATACTAAGCCGCAAAAAGCTCCTCCGTGCGCTTTCCCGTATCGCCCATTCTAACTAAAACAATAGAGGAATAAATTCAGTATGTACAAACTTTTATTATCTCAGAAAAAAACCCACATATCGATATCGGCAAATATCGGTTATCGGCCATTACAGAAAAATGTATATCTGGTATTGATATCAGCCAAAGTTTTCATATCGGTGCATCCCTAGTTTATATGTCTATTTCCAGATGTGCCCTTGGAGTTTACATGTGTCTGCGTAGGTTTCCTCCAGGTGCTCCAGTTTCTCCTACCACTAATTAGATGTACAATAGTTCAGCGAGTATGAGCGTGTGTTCGTGAGCGCAACTGTGGGACAACAAATGCAAAAAAAAAGTGTGATGACTCTGATAACTCTGATAACTGTGTTGAACTGCGTCCTTTGATTTGTATTTGCCCCATTTTGCAAATCTCCAAAAATAACATCACAGAAATGTCCCAGATGGGAGGAGCTTTTTGTACATGCTTTATGTGATAGGGGAAACCAGAGCACTGGGGAGAAACTTGCACCGGCACGGGGAGAACATGCAAAGTCCACTCACCTGGGAGTTGAACCCAGAACTAAGTACTGGTAATAGGTCACAATATCTACTCTGATTTGTTACTTTGTCATTGGATTCCTTTTAGATCGGTCAAGCTCCTGAACCTCCCGGTCAGTCTGCGTCCTCACAAGGTGAAAGGGCTTGTCCAGAACATGTCCAGTGCGAGCCCCTTCATATACTCTCCCATTCTCCTCCACAACAGAAATGAGGAACGCTGCAAGAAGATCGGTGAGTAACAAGATGTTATAATTGATTATTCAAATAATTTCTAAATTCTTGTGATTGGTTTATTTATTTGTAAAGGTATATTTTTATTTTTTATATTGTGTATTTTTTATTTAAATTAAAAAAACTTCAGGTAACGGCACATATTGTCCACGTATACGTATGTATTCATTAATAAGTACATAAATATATACATATGCACATGAGAAAAAACCCCAAATGAAACTTGAATATAAATTACATTGCCACAGTGTGGCAACCATCTTTTTGGAAGCCGTAACCCCTGCCAAGATAACCCTTTGTTGTGCCTGATGACGCTTCTTGGATCTCTCAAATGTGTTCTCTTTTGGATCTGACATATTTGTATCAGTACTTTTTGGACTGCGATGGAGGACAGACCTTCCAAATCTACCAGTAGACTTGCTCTCTGTATTTGTATTTGTTTATTTGAACAGCAGCAGCTGTAAATACACCAGATTGTAGCTTTTGTAGCTGTTTGGGTTACTGTACTTAATTTGTCTAAATATCTAGACCACCAACAAATCCATCTTTATTTAGGACTGATTTAATCAGAAATGTATGATTTTTGTTGACACAACTTTTATGCCTTTTAGATGTTGTGTTATGTTGTGAATTGTGCTTTGTCAGTGGTCTGTTAGGCTTCATGACATGACATGTGCTCTATGTGGACACTCAGAATATATGTGTCTATTTCTTGGTCTTTAAGGCAGATGGGAAGAGATTGATGTTAAGCTAAAGCTATAAAAAGTGCTTCTCTAATGGCAGATTGTTTTTCCTGAGTACTTTAAGACCTGTCAAGGCTAAGACCATCCATTAACCTTTTTTTGAGTGATAGGCCTTTACCTTTTACAAAGAAAAATATCTGTTTCTCTCTCAGAAAAAAACAGCACATATAGTGATTGGATGAAACATAATTTAAATTTCATTCCACACTTAAAGGTACACTGTGTAATTATTACTGCTATCTAGCGTTGAGATCTAATATTGCAGTCCAGGGTACTACGGAAGCCTTTGATAGACAATATGTGTCTTTGACAGTGCTCCTCAACTCTCAGTCATTCACCAGATTGCAAAGGAAAGGATCCTTTAGTTTAATAAATGACCGGATCTCTCTAAACGTCTTGAGCACTTGACAGTCGCGTGGATGCGACGTGTAAACAAGACCGCGTTCTGAAGCAGCACCTGCTGCACAGAGGCTAAACTGAGTTCTACCATGGATCTATTATAATATATAGTTTTACAAAACTACGTTGATCAAAGAAGCAGGACACAGCTCCCTATCTTATCGTGTAAGTTAACCACAGCTCCCTATCTGCATCAAGGTAAGAAAACAGAACATTCACACACGCTGCTGACAAAATATTCTGACGATTGTTTTGTGGGGATTCTGTGTGTGTTTTATTAGAGGCTTGTCCCTGAATAAGTTTAGTTTAAACTTGTGACAGTTTCACTTGTGAGTCTGTTGTCGAAAACTGTTTGTTGTTAAAGCTCAACTAAGTTCAGCAGTGGTACTTCTGAGAAAAAAGGATAAAAAATATGCATGCGGAGAAGTTAAGAAGGTATCGTATTTTCTGGACTATAATTTATTTTTAGAAGAAATTTAATTTTGTACTTGTACAAGCCGCACATATCCCACATTGTAGTATTGAAAAATGTATCTCAAAAATCTCACCATGTTCTCAGGGCCTGTTCTTAATCTTCCAATTTCATTTTTTGTTGTTCTTCCTCTTCAGACTTCCAGTGGGTTCAAGGTGATGTTTGTGAGGTGCAGCTCATGGTCTACAACCCTATGCCTTATGAACTCCGTGTGGAAAACATGGTACGTGGGACTTTTGGTCTGGTGATTCACCTTCCACTTTTATCATAACAATGTACTGTAGGTCTACTATCTAGTTTTTGCAATGATATTTACAGGGGCTTTATCAATGTGTCCCACTTTTTTTAAAGTGATTGTCTGGAGTTTGTCAGAAAGAGAGACAGAGACGTACTTAATTTGAAAAAAACGACGCAAGCTCCCTCCCCCTTCCTTTCTGATTGGTCTACACCTACGTTTCCGTAACACTTTGAAATGTTAATCAGAGAACATATTATACATATACATTATTAATACACATGCACGGAGGTT